TTGTAACTACATACATATATGTATATACACACAAATAAATTACACCCAGACACAGTACAAATAATAGTATTCATTACATTGTGATTGGAATCAAACTCACGACCTCCTGCTTGGCAGTCACAATCACTAACCTTTAGACCAGTTTCATGTCGCATGTGTCATCTATCACGCTATGAACCCGGCACCCTCATAGAACGCTAAAAAATAGATCCTTAATACACAATTTTAATGGTATTTTATTATAAAAGCGATTAAAAATACTAAGACTTTTTGTGTCCGGTCATTTCCCGTCACTAATGACGTTCCTTTTCATTTTTTTTTCCTTACAGGTAAAATACCCTCTCAATTAATTTCTCATCTAACTATTGCATAACAGAGACTTACATGAATACGCGTTATCTAGATCTGAGGTAGGAACCGTTGCAACATCCACGGAACCCTAAACCATCGACAATCTACACAACACTAATAGGAACCGCCTGTCACTTCTCTATATAATAGAGGTGCACCATTGTGTGACATCATTAGATCTTGTGCAACGGTACCGACCGCATCAAAATGTGTACAGTCGTTTTATATGTGAGTTCATTTTATATTATTTATAGTGATATACAAAAGTGAATAATAGTGAAATGTGATTTCATTTAAAAATATGACTTCCAAAAAATTGTGTAGGAATTAGGTTGTGTTATATAATTTAAATATATTATACGAAGTGATTGATTTAATTATTACGTGCATCATATGCCAATATAGTGGCAAACAATTATATTGTACGAGTAAATTGGACGTTTGCAACATTGGGGATATCGAACACGCGTTGTCGACTCCTCTTAATACATTAAAATGTTTTACAGAATCCCGACATTATAATAACGAAGAATAAATCTTATAAATTTATTGAAGGGAATCGGACTCTTAATAGTTGTCTGATGACAATTCGCAAGATCTAGCAGGTTCGATTCTCGCTCACTGCAAATAGGTATAGACTAAATCTTCACGCATAAAAATTCGTGACGATAATGTGTCTTTTTGCATTGATGTGTGTGTAACTATTTATGTAAAATTCTTAATTTTATCCGTGCTATTATTATTATTTGGCGTTTTCGTAAACGAAAACGTAACATACGGGCGTTTAAGACGTTTCTGACTACCCCTTTGGGGATAAAGACACACACGGCCGTCTCAAACTCAAACTCTCTTTATTTCATAAAATTTTAAAAAATGTTTGAGATCGTCTTTTAATGTGACTAAAGTCATAGATCAACACACACAAAAACAACAATCTCTGTTTTGTCAAATAGTAAGCAAATAAATTTAACAAAAACCAAACCCATACAAAATCTGATGAGAAGATCTGATCCCAAACTGGGCAGAGCCGGTACTGTGATAACCAGATTGCCGCGGTGGTGCAGTGGTAGCGTATGCGACTGCTATGCTGAGATCTCGGGTTCGATTCCCTGGTCGGACCAAATGGTTGTATGTTTTTTGAGTTTGGGTGTTGTCTATATAAGTTTTATATTAATTAATCTAGCTTTCATAGTACAAGCTCTGCCTAGTTTAAAACTAGATGGCGTTCTGTGTCAAATTTCCGATAATATTATTTAATAATTATTATATACATATGTACTTATATATTTCTAAATACATACGAGTTACATAGACATTACTATATATTTTCTAAATGGGAATAAATTTGGCGGAAAGATGGCTGTCTTCTGAATATCCACGTAGGAAAACTGTAAATTGTAATCTCAAAGTTAAGTTGTACTTAAGTCTAGATTAGAGTCTGTCCGAGTAAGGTAAAGTTTGAACCCCTAGTGCTCATGTAACATTTTCAAAACGAGCTAGTCAACATTTTAAACTATTTTTTGTGGCTTTAATATTAAAAACATTCAAGAATACATTACGGGCGAGCACGTTGACACCTGTGTAGTATAAATTTAGAAATTAAAACAAATACACGATTATAGCGAAATGACCAAGTAGTAGCGGGCTCGAACCCTACCATAAATCCTAAATTCTAATCATTTAGGCTAAGCTAGGACAACAGGAATACGAATGGTGTATAATCCACGTTAATATTCTTCTTTCTAAAGAGTTAGTAATCTCAAAAACATCTTGGATGCTTTGTAAACACTTGTTCCCATGACTACCTTGGCTATTGGCCCTACCCATAGTCCTACCTTAGTCTCAACCCAAAACTGTTTAGTTGATTCATCATCATCAACAGCCTATAACAGTCCACTGCTGGACATAGACCTCTCCTTAGGTTTTAGCCTACTATACCACGCTGGCCAGACGGGTTTGACATAGTGTTTGTTTCAAGTTTTCCTTCTCTTTGCAGTGCTGTTGTAGTGCGTTGTTTTATTACTTAGTCGGCTCTTACGACACCCAAGAGATGAATAGTGGTGACTTTCTGTATTCTTAATACGTCACCACACTGACTGCACTCCTCGCACACTCAGTTAAAAGCCATGAAATAATTTAATAAATTTGTATAGGTAGATATTAGATAACCATTTGTCCGACTGCAGATATGAGGTATCCGAGAACTTGTGTGAGCGCTGTGACAGGTCCCTTCTGTTCCTTCGCGTACAGCTCCTTGAACCTTTAGTTTATTGACTATATTTAATCTCTTTGGAGTGACACGTGTAACCGCTTTTGAAATCACAAAACGATCCCGTTCAAATGATCCTCCCGTATGTTTCGTCCTTTTCATCACCAACAAAAGGTGTGTTTATTCACACCGTTCCAGAGTCCGCGCACAAAGTTTGTTTAATACTTCATACGGTAAAACGTTTTATTAAAAGTTTTACAACGCTTTAAACGCTGAAATTTGAAGTGTGAGTGCTCGTTAGCGACATAAAGGCTTTTTATTTTAATAAACACTACAAAGAATAATGAAGGTATAAATGCTTTCTGACATTTTTTAAACTTAAAAATATCCTATATTCAGACACCGTGTAGTTACATTGGTATTAAACCTATTCTAACGAGTCTAGTAAGTGGGTGACGCCATCAACCTGGTCTGCTTGCCCAATTTTGGCAAAGGCCTCCAATTCTTTCCACTTTGTTCTGTTTTGCCCTTTCTTTGTCCATGTTCTGCTACGATTTCATCTCCTATTTCTATCTATTTATATTATTTTTCTTCACTTCATCTCTAGAAACGTCAAAAAAAAATTGGCATAGATTTCATTTCAAAAAGCTTTTGTTTGTGGCTTTGTGTATTAGATGTCCGAAATATTATTATTATTATTGTGGACACTCCTTAGAAATGGTAGTGTTTTTCTTAGATATCTTGTGTCCTTTTCTGTAACTCTATATTATGTAAAATTTATGATGACAATCGGTTGAGCCGAAAAGCGAAAAGCGTTATAAATAAATAAATAAGCAAACTGATATTCTCATTAATAGTTACGATTAATCTATTTTTTAGTACTTTTAACTCTTTCAACAGTATAGTTATAAGTTTTATAAGAATTAGGAGGAAAGTACAGTTACGGTTAAAGACATTTATTTTTCTCAAAAGATTACAATAAATCACTTGCAGAGAAAAATACAATACTAAACAAAAATATATTACTTTATTAGCGTAGTTAGTTAGTAAGGTAGTTGTGAAAAGTTTTTTGTGAGTAGGGTAGATTAAATACTTTCTATACAGCTGTGAGTTCAAGAATGTTGGTGCACAAAAGAATGCATGTTTGTTAAGGCCTATGACTTAGTGACACGTACCTGTAGATTGTTGTCAAACATTTTATTTCTGAAATGAAATGTAAATGTAAATGAAAGTACAGTTTCTCATACATTGTGTATGAAACCTAGCACAGAAGAGGCGCAGAGCTGTGAATTAAAACGCAGATAAAACTGCGGAGAACTACAAGTATATGAATACTTTTAACGTAGTTTTAATAATAATAATACCTCACAGCACGGCACACGGCATTCTGATCGCAAACTAGGCAGAGCCTGTGCTATAGTAACCAGACAGCTGATAAACATACTTATATATTTCTAAATACATACATATTATGGAAAAATTACACCCAGACACAGAAAAAATGACCGTGCTCATCACACAATATTTGTCCTGGGTAGGCATCGAACCCAAGACCTCCGACTTAGGGTCACTAACCAACACGTGATTTTTCCATTAATCTGTTTTATTATTTTAACCCCATTCGACCTTTGGAATAGCAGTCCGTTACACAAAGCACTACGCCATTCGGTCATCATCGGGTCGGCAACATTAATCTGTTTTCTTTTTATATTACACTCGTACTTCACTTAACAGTAAAGGAAGTATCTTTTTATAAACTAAAGTAGAAAACCCTGTACAGTTATATGGAATTTGAATAATTTGAGTTTAGTACGTTTTTTCGTTGTTTCGTCTCAACGCTGGTCTAAAGAAATTTCAGAATAATCAACGTGTAAAAGTGTCTAAAAACTTATACCTATTGACAAGATAAATTCATTTATCATTCATTATTTATGGGCTTCGTTAAAGAACCAATGTTGCCCAATTCCCTCTCTAAGAAATAATTGTCAAGTACAGCGGTAGAGAACTCGTAAAATCACTGAATTTTACAGCCCAGGGGATGTTCGAAGAGACTGCAGTCATAAATTTGTAGAGCTCAGTACTAATTCTGTCAAAAAATAAAGTTAAACTTTGCGTACTGTCGTAAAAATGCGTCTATTTTATGGTCAGGAACATGATAGGTTCCTAGGCGATTTAGGCAGTGAATTACTAACACAGCAATAAAGAATTGAATTCTGACAATTACAAAAGGGACGACACACTCAAATCTCCGAGGGTAATAAAAAGAGGCAGCATTACAGTAGTCTCATATCACTTGTAACATCTGACTGACATGAAGTACTTCGTACAATCATTGGTTAAATCAAATCGCCAGGCTGACGGCATCAAAAACAATACTCGTATTTGATCAACAGCAATCATTTATCGCGTAATGTTCTGATTCCGAGCCTCGGTTTGAAAAATGATGAGTGAGGCATTTCAAAAAATTAAATTAGTAAGACTATTTTTCTGTCCGTAATGATGGATTACTTTTGTCAAATTTGAATGAAGGGTCATTTAATTTTTGAGTATAATAGATATTGCCGGCATTTTAAAAAAATCGAAGAACTAGTGCGTTCTATTTTGTAGAAAAAACTTTTCAAAACATCTCTGTTATGAATAAAGGGATTCAGGTTTTGTATTATTCATCTAATTGTGCTGTTTATGGCACGGCCCTATGGGATACAATAATAATATGCTAGCGAGAACATATGTTATTTTAACATACGTATGTACTTTTGAAACTTATAGGGGTTCCACAAAAACTTTTGACTTATCGCATGGCCCCACTTCGAACCCAGGGTTTTGACAAATGGATGTTGTTCCCTCTTATTTTATTTACGAAATATATTCACAACAAAATTTGCTGAACTGGATTCAGAGTTCTACTAATGGTAAACATTATATTATGCAGCGATTTCTTGACCTAAGTTAATCATAACTTGTACCTAATGGGTGATCTAGAGTTTATACCGTACGTACCATGGACTACGGGCCGGCTCTACCGGAGTGTTACCTCGACCTCACAGAAAACCAGTTTTAGTATTTTTTTCGCCATTTCCCAGTTTGTTTGCCCTTTCTTCTCATTAGGCTCAACCCTTTGGAAACCGGCGGTTGTAGATCGGCACGGATTAACTTCCATTTTGCCATTGTGTCTTTTAGATTGTTGCTATGGCGTGTGTTGATTTAAGACTTTAGAGCCTAAGACGATTTCAATTATAATTTTTATGAAATAAAGAAATTTGAGTTTGTGTTCGCTGCTTTTCACAGAGTGAGTGAAGTTACTAGAGGTCAAACCCAACCAAAGTATTTTTTTTAGATGGTAATTATTGAATGGTTTGTAGATTAAAGGGTCAGATTTTACAGATAATTTACTTAATATGTACTTCTCAGACCTGGGTATGTAATTTGTCGGATTTTAGTTTTTTTTTGTTTTGTACATGAATAGGTGTAACTACACTATGATTAATGCATAACAGTAACTCTGTACTGCTAATATCAGAAAAAGAACGGGATGAAGATATAAAAGGCTACTATTGTAATTAAATTCTACTGTTTTATAACCTGGGTCTTCTTTTGTCAACAGCTGTCGGGTGTCCTGTTTCTCAGCGCAACCCTCGCTGAGGAGACCCAGTGGTCGCCGTATAACATGCAGGAGTACCTGCAACAGTTTCAACAACAAGATCAACAGGTAAACAACACGATCAACGCGTATATAAATAGGACTATGTAAATTTTACCCTAGGAATGACAGCCCTATGTGAACTATCAAACACATCTGTTGCATTCGATTCGTTTTCAATTTACGCAAATATGATCACGTGTCGCAGCATCGCTCCCATTTGGGGTGGCTTCCAATTCGCCAACGCAGAGAGACACGAGCATTAACTACCCTATATTCTTTACTTTTTTCTCCTAGTTCTCCTTCCTACTTAACTACTCAACTTCAATATTTAGGGGCAAACCATGATAAAAACCTTAAATCTTCAAGCAACCTCCTTCTTCACTGTCCCACTCACCGCTCTGACTTCGTACATTCTACCTTTCTGGTACAATCCGTCCTGTTATGGAACGCGCTGCCTCGCGAGATCAGGATGGCGAAAACTCGGCAAACTTTTAAATACCTGTTGCGGAAACATCTCTTAAACTCCTTATCAGATCTACCGTGATACCTCTCTCTTCTAAAATTTATTGTGTGTATGTATGTATATGTATATATATATAATATGTATAGTTATATGTATGTATAAATGTATATTATTATGTAAACATAATATATGCACACAATGTGCATATGATATTCTATTTATACTATTTTTTTTTTTTTTCTTTTAAATCACATTTCTAATTTCTGTGCATCTACCATTTTTTTAACTCGGCATCGCCCTAAGGTCGACTGGTAGAAAATGCCTACGGCATTAAGTCCGCCTGTGTCACATTTGTGCATAAAGTATAAAATAAAAATAAATAAATAAATCTGTGAAGAGTCTAATGACACTTCGTAAGTGGAAATCCGTCCAACGGTTTCAAATGTACAGAACCCCTAAGAATAAGATATGCGATCGAAAATTAATGCGAGTTTAGTTCCGCGCGCTTTTATTAGTCAAATCAAGTCAGATCCTGTTACACATTTCCGTCCCCTTCCACGTAATACACTCTCACAGATTACTGGAAACCAAGAGGAAATATATTAATTGCCAGCGACTTCGGTCGCGTGAGTATTTCTTATTTCGTGTTTCTAACTTAGAAAATGACAAACTTCCATAACCCTTATTTTACCCCCTTAGGGGTAAAACTTTACTTAGTGGGTGCCATCAGCTACCAACACTTTTAGTTTGTGGACCCAGCGCCTTGGGCTCTGCGTTAATGAATCAGTTTGTTAGGGCAAGTAATTTTGAGAGGTCTATAAACCCACGGTCGGAATGAAGTTCCTTTTGTTTTTAGGTAGACGTTTGCTATACAGTCTGCTTTAAACTTAAGGTGTCGGAAAAAAGGTCTTGTTGCACATCTGCTCAGAGTGTGTAACGCGCGACAATTAACTTCGTTCAAAAGATTTAAATAAACGTACAATTTCTTTGACCGCGATATACGAAAACGACCTTCACGTCTTTTCAACTACGTATGTCTCATATTTCGAGGCGCCCTTCAAATAAACCTTGAAGCGTAATAAAAAAGGGAATAAGGTAACAAACACATAATACATCTTTTATGACGTTTTATATTTTTCTGTTACAGAAAATATACATTACACTTTTAGTAGTCAGGGTTCAGTGAATCACAACAGAATATTGCGTAATGAAATTTTATTGTATGATACGATACTTTATTGTATGAGAACTGTTAGGTTTCATTCAGGGCTTGTGTTACTACAAATTGAGTTACGACATTTAAGAAATGGTGGCGGCTTTAAATAAATAATTATATTGAAATCGTTGGAAAGCTATGTTTAGGCGCTTAAGTTGCAGTGAGCGTGAACAGGACATGGACTCCCTTGCTATTTTTTAAACATATTCAATTGCTGAAATGATTAGTAATAGTCACAGCTATTTCAAATGTGATTGTGATTTCGTCATAGACAAAGGTACCTAAATGCCATTAAAATCATTAATTTTTTTTATTATCAAAGGTTACGACCGTTTTTTTCTTAGATTTAGACCTTTTGCGAGTCTTGCGCTAGTGTCATAATAATAATAAGTCACAGTGGTTTTGTAAAACGGTCACAAGTAGGATTATATGATTTATAAATCATATGATTTATCACAGGCGATTGTGATTTTATGCCATTCCTACCGTCAGCTCATTGGTCTCATAAAAAAAATCTAGTGGAAAACCAGGATAAGGCTAACTTCCTTTGTTTACATTACTTACTAGATTACTATGTAGCCAAAGAAATGTAATGTACCCATTTCAAAAACGTCGCTAATGCTCCATTAGGCAAGTAAATAGATAAAATTTCACGCTGCGCTGGTATGGATTGCACGTAATTTTAAATTCTATTCTCGATATCAGTATTTATAGTAATTAATTGTTTGATTTGTAGTATCACTACACAGATGGTGTAGTGGTTTTAGCAATCACCTAGCTGTTTCCTACTGCGCTAAGTTTTGTGGGTTACATCCCCACATGGGAAAACACTTTGTGTGATCCACAAATTGTTGTTCTGTGTCTGGGTGTTATTTTTGTCTGTTTCAAGTATGTCTATAAAGTCCCCCGCGACACAGAATATATTCCTACTGCGGGAGTTCTCTTTTTAAAAATGATAGTTAATTCATTGCTCAAAAAAATAGTTTACAGATCCTGTTACACATTGCCGTCCCGTTTCACTACATAACTCCCAAAGATTAAACAAAAGAGAGAAGAAACATGTTACAGATCAAAAACCTATTTCATAGACTTTACAACATAAACTTTTCTCGCAGTTGATAGAGTCAAGCTAATTCAATACTGTATAAAGTAAACACATCGTTGGAACAAATTCCCCAAACCAGCTAGTTTGTGAGCTAACAAGTTTTTAATACACAATATTACAACGTCATTTAGAAATAGAATGCATTGTTATTTTGTACAGTACTAAAACTTGTGCGGTGTGCCACTATTGAATTTAAAACACAGCACAGAGAATTGAATTCTATAATTCAAAAAGAGTTTGTTTATACTTAGAATTTAATGTTACTAGTTTTAATTTAAAAAAATAGATTATGAATTTACGGCATTCTGACAGATCCCTTTTTGTTTAAGCCGTTTCGAGTTTTAGGTGGAAGATAAATGGATAATGGTTGTTTTTTATTTGGACTTCCTTTTTAGATTATGCTCGCAATAAACACATTTGTTATTAATCACAGTTAGTAGCATCAGAAGGTCAATTCTCGTAACAAAAATTCGTTCAAAATCCAGTTCCGATCTACACTTGATCTCAGAAAGTTCATAAAAGGAATTGTGGTAGTAAAGTATTAAACATCGAACGTTGACTGTAATGTGGTTATATCGTATTCTGGCCAAAAGTTAAATCGGTATTCTGTTAGTCTGAGTAATATTTTACTACTTCGAGAATTTTATGACATTTGTGAGATCGAGAGTTGATGGAAACTGAATTTACAACCAACTTTTGTAACGAGAATTGAAATTCAGTTAGTTTGATTCCAATATATCAGGCCAAAACCTCCTTTCTAAGGAGAGGCTTATGTCCAGCAGTGGACTGTTATAGGCTGTTGATGTGTGATGATGATATCAGTTTGACGTTAGTTCTGGAGTGGTGCTGCATTGTAACCCTAATATGGCTGCTTTTTTTTATGCTATAAGGGGGCAAACGAACAGACGGGTCACCTGATGGTAAGCAACTACCGCCGCTCATTGACACCTGCACCTCAAAAGTCACAAGAAATGAAATGATGAAATGATATTTATTTCTGTAAGTAAATCTTTTCAGATATTTTTACAAGTCGGACTTTATAGCTAGAAGGAGCCGGCATTTCCTAAGACTCACTCTGGGAAGAAACACCGAAACAAACCACAGAGGTGTCTTTTTTTTTTAAGTCCGTAAACAAAGTTAAATAAAACTGTGCGAGTACAGTATAGGGTCTGGATAGGCCTTTTGAGGAAGGGATCATAGTTTTGAGTCAACCTGTCCATACAGACGGCATACAGGCTCCAGCCATCGTGTAGCCTAACCGATATTTGTCAAGATCAACGACCCGAAGCATGACACTACCGCCAGCAGGAAGTGCGTTGCTGCCCTTGGAGACCCTCCCGCTCGGGTCAGCGGGAGAGGGGATTTGGGCTCCGGTAACCTCACTCCCCCAGTGAAAGGCAAGGAAAGAATTGCTTAACATTGGTTTTCTGTGAAGCCGTGGTATCACTCCGGTCGAGCCGGCCCATTCGTGCCGAAGCATGGCTCTCCCACGGTAGATTGGTGATTCCATTATTTGTAGTTTTATCAAAACTGTATGACCTTCAGAAAACAATTGACTGGACTTTGATTGATTTAGATTTGTTTCAAAATGTTTGCATTATAAAGTTATTATGTCAATACACTTAGATTTTTGTACCCTTTTTTTTAACAAATAAGGCGTACGGAAGTATATCGTATTTGGTATACTTAAGGTTTATTATGTAAAAAGGGCTACATAAGACTATAGGGATCTAGTATATATTTTGACCTCATCAACAGCCTTTAATAGTCCACTGCTGGACATAAACCTCTCCTTAGAAAGGAGGTTTTTTTATTTTGACCTATTGTGGTATAAAAGTGTAGACAATGTCCTTATAAATCTTTAAATGCAAAGTATAAAAATTTCCAAATAACTATTTTATTTTATTCTACGGAACTAATATTTCTGAGCAACTAAATTCAAAGTTATACGATATAAATATACCACGAAAGTATTAATGCTGAATTTTTTAATATAAGTACCCTTAGAATATTTTTTATATGGCAACATCAAAGTGTAGGATTAAATAACGTCTCCTTTTTCCAGGGAATGTTATAAAGCAGATTGTTTATGGCTTAGGTTTTTAAATATTTGTCGAGATTGTACAGGATGTTGTTCACTTCGTCTTTTAAACCACAATGATTATGTTTGACAAGCGTGGGATTTTTTATCTGTTTTGTTGTAGATACTTTGTTGATAATAATTAATTTTCAAAACAAGTGCCACAAAGGCAACAAACCAACCTCAAGTAAAATCAGAAAAGCAATTTACTTAAAACAAGAATTACTGAAATCGGTTAACAAATATCGAATATGTCGCATAAAATATAAACAAAAAGGCGAATAAAGAACTTTCTTCTTTTGGAATCGGTTAAATAGTTTATTTTTTACATATGTTGATGATGCATGTAAACATACATTTAAAAGATTATTAAATAAATAAGTATATTATAAAGGTTATAATAGATTAAAAAGCAGCCTGTATAGCAGATATTAAACATGACTTTTTATGTACCAAATCATAAAAAGTACCCTTTAATACCTTCGTAGATATATTCGCCTGTATATCCTGCTACAAGTCAAACAATATCAACTGGAAAACCTATTTTTTTTCATAAAAGCTCAGATTTTACACCGGCAGCGTCGTTAAACACACAAAATTATGTAAAGGCTTGTTTCAAGTTTTCCTTCTCTTTGCGATGCTTTTGTCAGTCAGCTCTCACGACACCCACGGGATGAATAGGGGTGGTGACACTCCGTATTCTTATTTCATCACCGCATGGATAACGTACTTATTCTTATTGTTTGACGATATACTTGTTTGCTACCTTGAATTAAGTAGGATTAATAATTTGCCTCTGTAGTCTACTTAAAATTTGTTATGGTCCCCACCATAAATAATTCAATGATTGATTTCAAGCCTGTGTCGAATCTAGAATCTACAAAAAGTTTCTAGCCAATTTCAGCTGCCATTATATAACAGTAATATACGCTCCAATAAACTCAGAAGCATAACAGTTACCAAAGTTAACGTAACTATTACCGAACGAAAAAATAAAACGTCAAATCGTATCACAGATCCAAAAAAAGAAACAAAAAAATCGTCATAGACTATACAGCGGTCGGAGCGACGGCTCGGAATCCCTCGCGTTTATACATTTTTTATTTTACTTCGCTCTGTTATTTAATTGTCTCGGATTCCGTGGCCGTTTTCAACGTTGTGTTGCATCCTACGTTTACGTATGGTGATATAATCTTTTCAATGGTGAACCGTTTAAATTGATCGCTCAATTATGTTAAAAAAAAAGGTGGAAGCATGTAGTAATTGCTTGTATATTTTAGCGGTAGTGTAGTATACTTAATTCACGGTACACCTGGTAAACTACTCAATACTTTATTGCTCAATATTTATTTATCGAGAGAAGTATGATCACTTAGTTACTTTTCTTCGTATGATAAGTGTCTAAATTACAAAATTTTGTGATGGGAAGCTAAGAAGCAAGAGTAATGATTAACAATCTTTTTGATGTGGAACATCTTAGACCATCAGACCGGCTGTTAGCGTGGCCACTCATCACCCCGGCAGGCGTCGCCACGCTATGTGATAGTATGTTATTACGCGTCGCCATGAAGTGCGTGATAATTTGTACTGCAACTACTATAGTAAATACTCATATGACTCATCCATAACATAAGGGAGAGTTAAAAAAAAATCTTTTCTAGGATTTTAGGTTCTTATAAGAAAAGTACAAAAATTTCACTGTTGTTAAATAATGCCAGTAGTTATTTTAAAATTTCCTTTTTCTTTATCCACAGTTACAAGCCAGCGAGCATGGAGGTGGTTTCGATTTTGGAGGCCATGACGCAGGTTCCTCCTTAGATGGTCACGGTGGCCAATACGGAGGCCAATTCGGAGGCCACGATTTCGGAGGTCACGGCTATGGCCACGGCCACGAGTCTCACTCGTACCCCGTCCACCAACACGTCGAAGAAGAGAACCCTGAACCAATCAAACACTACAAAGAAATAGTAGTACCTTTACACAAAAACGTTGAGTTCAAAATTAACCAGCCAGTAATTATCCCAGTTCCTCATCCAGTACCGATTCAGGTACCAGTTCCAAAAGCGGTAGTTATACCAATTATTAAAGAGGTTTCCATCCCAGTGGAAAAGTCCGTTCCGTATCCAGTAGAAAGGACTGTTCATGTACCTAAGATCAAAGAGGTACCTTTCGAAGTCGTTAAGCATATTTTAGTTCCCGTAGAAAAACCGTTCCCATTTAAAGTTCCAGTTTATGAAACCGTAATTCATACTAAGAAGGGATCGCATAAGCTTTAATTTTAAAATGTATTATGTGCTGTTCCATTGTCGAGCTAATATCAACCCTAAAATATTTCTCGAACTTATAAGAGTAAGCATACCTGTTTCTATGAACTGTGTTATACTGTATTTACCAAAAGCTCATGCTATCAGCAGCTGTCGTTCAAAATAGTTCTGGAAACTTCTTAAGATTATCCTTCACTGGCCTTTTTTTTCCAATTTGATTCGAAGCTGCTTGACATGCCTCATTTCTATTTGAAATTCCAGTTAAAATAATTTAATACGCTTTGCCATACGTTATAATATATCCCTTGAACTTTTTAGGTCAGTTTTGTAATAAAAGAACGGATCAGCTTATTTCTTTTGTATGTGGAATAGTTACCGTTTTGTAGACCTGGCTTTCCTGGATGGGCAACTGGTAGTACCGTTGTCTGCAAAGGCCTGAAGTAAATAAGTAAATCAATTGCTTTATTTTATTAAACACCTCAACGCTTTAAAAATTGTTAAGTACAACCAGTATTCAGTAAGTTAATGTTGTTTTGCGCTGTTCTTGTTGGTTGTTGTGTGATTGTTGTTCTTGTATGTTGTAAATATGTTTGTTAACTAATTTTAAGGTAAAATAAATATTGTTAAACAAATGTTTTCATTTATTTTTGCATATATTTCTGTACAAAATCTTTCCAATTGATGATCTTTCCTAATTCACATTGGTTTTTCGGTTAAGAGACTGTCAATGGCTCCACGGGCTTGAAAATTCCTGGTAGAATGCTTGATTATTATATGTGCTTAATGCGGATAGGGTGTCATAATAATGTTGACCACGTAATAACAGGCCTATTCTAAAATCACTGCTCAACCGTCTCACAGCCGCAGTGACGTAAGGGACTTATTTTTGTTGCAAAAGTTATAATTAAAAGCTCGAAAGATACATTCAATTACATTATTATCCATTATCCATTTTAATTACAAGAATAGAACTCCCGTTTTTATCTTTTAAAGAAAAGTCAAGCTTTCTTTGTGGTCAGTTTTTTTATTGTTATTGACACATATTCTACAAATATTTAAAATTAACAATTCGTTTAATCAACAAAACTAAAAAAGATTTTTTCTTAACGGGATTTAAGATCTTCGTGGATGTACTTCGACCATTTTAGGAGCAGGGTTTTATAGGACTCTTACTCTTACTCTAAAAACCAAGCGAGAATCGCAGTTACTTTCTGCCGCCCCCCCTGTGAGCGAACCCTAGAGTAGTCGCATATTAGGTATATGTCTCACATTTCATACTCCTTCACCTTCTGACGGACAACTCAGAACGGATTGCGTAGTGGTTTATGAATGTTATGGGTTTGATCCCCACATGGGACACCACTTGTTGTTCTGAGCCTGGGTGTTCTTTGTGTCCGTTTCGTGTATGATTGTAAAGTCCCCCGCGACACAGGATAATAATATAATAATAAAAATAGTTGTATTGTTATTATTTCTGTCAATTTGACTGCAGGAAAGCGAGAAATGAAAGATGTTATACGCCAATAAATAGCGATAGAACATCGCGGTACATCGGTAGAACGATTAAATAATAAAAACTTCTGTTTATTCGTGCCGCAATTAAATATAATCTATTTACATTAAGCCCCATATCATGTGTTAGTTGCTCTGTTATTTTACCGCTTTAAATCGAACCATATTTCAGTTTTGTAAGCAGAGAAAATAATATAAGTAAGACACTAACTGCACTGTACTGTAAGCGCCTGTGCAAAAAGAGTTAGCAATGTTTCAAACACGATATTGCTATACGTCCATTGTCCTTACAACTACCGAATCTTGAAACAAAGTTTATTAAATATATATACCCTAAAAAAGTTAATTTAAATAAATTACAGAAATAACGGAACAAAAAGGATAGATTTGATGGATGAAAATTTACTAAATACGTACATATATGTACAGTGTTACTGGTTAAATCAAATCAAATCGAATTCAAATACCTTATGTCGGACATAGTCCATAGGGTTAGTACAAATAACATAACTTAATGACTAATGTTAGTTATACTCAATTATTATAGTGGCTAGTGTTTATCTTTGCTCAGTGGCGCAGCAGAGGGGAACGCCACCGATCTGTAAACACCTTTAGGAGACTATTAGTAGCGGTGCGCAATCGGCCAGCCATTGATTGTGTCCTCTTTCTTAAAATTGCGTAAAAGTCGCCTGTGTGCGCCTTCGCAAACATACCGGACGCACTACAACGCCACGACAGCCCCAACAGCATCCTGAACGCGTTATTATATTGGACTCGCTGGTCGCTGTATGTCCTCTGCGTAAAACTGGTCCAAAGACTGCACGTGTAAAAGGACTGGCAGAACGCTTTAAAAGCGTAACCTTTTCTTGATTAAGTTGACCTAAATACTTTAGGGAGTTAAAGTGGCCATTTATTTCTGATAGATTTCACTAAGAAACACCATATCCCAAACGAAACAATTTTCAAGATATTAGACTTTTAAGATTTTTTATAGAAATTGCTGAAATTTTGCCTAATACTAAGTGGCCATCCTCTATAGCCCCTAATCTGGCCCCCTGAGACCCACACACTCTGGCTGCTCATTCTGCTAATAAATAGGTAGCAATATAAAAACAAATAAAGATAAATAAAGTAATTATGTACCTATACAATATCACATATAACAAGCAACAGTATTCCTACTCAATATACAATACAAAAACTACAAAACAATTAAAACAAATATACTTATTTACTATTCTGTTTTAATCTGTGCTTCTTTAAGTGGTTTTACTACGGAGGGTAGAGGCAGGGAGAACTATCTCATATGGGGGAAAGTTGAAAAAGTGTCCAGCTGTATACTGAAAATAGAGGTCGATGGTGTACGAATAACTACGATATGACCATAGCTGTTGTAGACGGAGTGAAGTGTGCTGAGTTTAAATATTTTAACACTTTTACTGTCTAAAAGTAATAAAATATAAATATTTAAACAGGTTTTTAGGCATAGGTATCCTGCAAATAACCGTGTGAGCATGAACAACACCTGTTATTTGGATATTACAAACAGACACTTTAATTTTATTTATTTGTATAGATGTAGTTTATTCTCCTATAATTTTAATTGTTACTTTTGATTAACTAATGTAATTGGTTGTAGGCCGTTTTCAACAAATATATAAAATTACAATGGGATTAAATACTCCCTAGAGAAGTACTAATTCTTCGACGAGACAGAGGTAAATGGCAAATTGAAAAATTAATAAGGAGAGAGAGCCAGGGTAACACAAGACATGGGCACCAGGGCCTTCCTTTCTAGGGTATACCTGGTTCCCCGGCTATTAGTACCCGGCGACGGCGTGCGGTTTTAGTCGGTTCGTGTCCGACATGCCACCGACAGGTGGTATCCGAGGGGATTTCCGCACGGAAAAAAAAAAAAAAAAAAAAAAAAAAAAAAAAAGGGTAACACAAGACTTGCATCGGCATCCAGAATGATACTGCTGTAGTTCGAAGAAGTAGGGGACACTTACGTCGTCCTGTGTTTGTAGAGGCTAGTAGGTAGATCAACTATCCTTAAACCTTTTTTATGGAATAGGGGGTTCGCAAGCAGACGGGTCACCTGATGGTAAGGGACTAACTCCGCCCTTGCACACTTGCAACTCAAGAGTCACAATTGCGTTGACTCCCTTCCCTTCCGGAAGAATTGCTTAACACTTTTTGTAAGGTAACTCGGGTCGATTCTGGCCCATATGTGCCAAAAGTCTTAACTATATTAGTCAACAGTTGATGGGAAATCCCAAGGAATTCCCGAAAACGCCATTCACATACAAAATACTTACATCATCACAGTCATCAATGCCTTCCACAACATGGCCTTGTCAGTATAGCCTATTGTTACATTCTGCGCATCAACCCTTTTATGGTGCCCATAATGTTTCCATAGAATCCCATAGCACAACCACTTGATTACTAAAGATTAATATTTAGTATCGTTAAAGATTTTGCGTCTGGAACTCGCGTTGGTATTTTTCGAATTGCAAATATCTAGCTGTGTGGTTTATTTAATAGTGTTATCTCTTTCTCGCTGTAACATAGCAAAAGGACAGTGATTTTCTAACTCGTAATACGTCTTCGGTATTTTTAAACTCTTTAATATGCGTCTGAGGTGGTAAGCAGGTATGTGTGTATGAGGCCTTGCAATAGGGATATACATGTATAAATCTGACTCTAATGGATGGCGTAGTGGTTCGTGTAATAGACTGCTATTCTAATGGTCGCGGGTTCGATACCCGCTTAAGTCAAACATTTGTGTGTATGAAAACTTAATGTTTGATTTGGTCTATATGTATATAGTAGTAGTAGTAGTAAATCAAAAAAAGTATATATCGCCGGCCCCGGAGAATAAAATGGTAATCGCAAAAACTTAACTTTTCAGGAAAAATAAAAAACCAGTTTTTGTCTATAACTTGTCTGATAATAGACTTAGATAATCCAAAAAGGACTCAAATGAAAGCTAATTTTTGAAGCTTTTAAACTATTTTAACAAGCTTTTAATTGGATCAATCAAATTCAAGATATTCAAAATTTAAGAAGTTAGTAAAAAGATAAAGTTAGCGTAATTTAGTATTACACACTTATCATTTTGTTCTCGTCATTTTATTACAAATTCAATATTATAATATCCTATTACACTGATATTCAGTTATTTGACAGCGCTAAATTATGGAAAAATATAGTATCTTACCATTTTATTCTCGTTCATACGGGATATCAATAATGAGACAATAAAACTTAGGGCTATTATTCTGGTTAAGCAAATAAAATAAAGTTATGTTAATCAGATTTTACTTAACTTTAAATGCACAAGAATTTTTTTAAAAAGAAATTAGTCGTCCTGATTTTCATTATCAATAAATCTATGGCTTTCAGAATTACTCCTTTCATAAGTCAGAGATTCGTAGAAAGCATGGTAAAAAACTGGGATCGCTTCTGATCTACACAAGCTCATAAGGTCATCGTGTAAAGCCTTACTGGTGGCAAAGGTTCCCTATAAGCCACATTCAACTGAAAATCACTGACAGAACCTGGTGTAATAGGCGCTGTCTGTTTCATACCTCTCTTGCTTCTAGCTTGTTTGACATTCTTGTTTGACACTGTTCGACATTAAGTTGAGAATACTCAGCATCAAAATCATATTTAAACCGTAGAATAGATGGCTGTGAATTTAAAACGTTTACTTCCATTACCTTTGACCACATTATTTTCTGACCTTCTTCATGATGGACCCAGTTCTTGTTTTTTATCAAATCCTTTATGTTAAAGAACTCATTTTGTAACATTTCCTTCACAATGTATTTCTCGCCGTTGATTTTAGCATTCATAGTGATAGCATAAATCTGTTCGGTGTATATACGACCCTGTGTTTTAATTCACGTTCAATATTAGAGTGCATGGAATCGCCTTCACTCTGGCCATGGCCTGTTTCGAAAAATCTGTGTTATATTTATTTGAAGTTTCTGAGCAGCAAAAATATATAAAGCAAATATAAATCTGTTTTTGTTTTGTCCTGCACAACCATCTGAGTATAAAAAAATGTTTTTCATACCTCTTTCCTTCTCACTTAAGAAAAATTGCCACAGGCAGCTTCCTATTTCTATTGCTCCTCTTTTTGCAATTGTGTGGTGCCAGACATAGCAGTGACCTTTAAGTCTAGTACTATCAAAAATAGTAAAGTGTAAATAGGATATTTCCTCTTATAATGAAATATTCCAACTGCAGATTATGGAATATTTAATACCTTCTCTAAATCGAAGATTGCTATGGTTGTATGTGAAGGATCAATGGATTCCTATTCTTCTATTTAAATTTGACGTACTCGATCTTTGCTTCTTTGGTGTTTGTCATACTTATCTTGCAATGTCGCTTATCGAACAGAATCAGCTTCTCTGTAAAGAGTGCAAGTGGAGCATTGGTCTTTTTTTGGTTTAAGAAATGAATAATTGAACTTGGTGTTAAAAATGTTTTCATATTGACGTTTAGAAGCTATCGGGCAGTCATAATTTCCCTCTTGGAACCGACTTTGATATAGACGGTACATTTTACTCACATTAAGTAGCTCTGATAGATATTGTCTGGCAGAATCTTTTCTTACATAATGTGACTCGACTACAGGGAACAATTGAATGTCATGAATTTTACGTGGCCTGTTATTATGGTGCCCTCTGTTATCAACTAAGCCTTTGTCAGATTTGACTTTTTCTAACGCCGTATAAACTGTCTGATGCGAAAAACTGAATTTAAAATGAAAGAAATATCTGAAATGGTTGAAGCCATTTTGGAAATATCATGAGTGGCTGCTTTTATGTGATCAGAGTCTCCACCAATACTTGATGGTGTTTTAATAAACCGGTTTGGGCTTGGCACATATTCAGAAACATCTGGAGAAAAGTCTTCATTAACTTCTTTATCGTTATTTTCACAATATTGTTTTTTTGTTGATTCTGTAAGACAAGATAAGAAAAAAATCATCGAATATCTCATAAAACTACCTCAAACTATGATAGGCCAAACTGGTTCAGCAGGTCAAAAAAGTTACGCTGTAGTTCAAATTTACTTCCTCCAGTAGACCTGCGGGTTTTTACCTTGACCTGGCGGAGGGGGCTCAGTAGTCGTGAGTTGGAGGATGGCAACTCTTAACCCACGTTGAAGCACGGGAACCACAGAAGAAGCTGCTTCCTCGAACTTTCGGTGCAACGTGACGTTCTTAACTGCTAAAAATTAAATGAATACGAGTATAAAAACACATTTAGGTACCTACCACGTAAACCATATTCATGATGATGCTTCGTTGTTTCTTCTTTATTTGTATTTTCAGGTAGTAAATTATGTGAAAATAATAATATTATTTTAATTTTGCAGACATGATAATACATATCTCTCAAGCACTCATAGCTCTCAAGCAGGTCATGCAAACATTTGGTCCGACCCGGGAATAGACCCCAATACCTCAGAACAGCAGTCGCATACGCTACTACTGCAAATCCGAGGCAGTCAAGTCTCCCCAATACAGAGATTAATTATAAATTTTTAATGAAATCAAAGTAATAAGAAGTAAACCACAGTACTTACCGTCGTTACAATGGTTCAGATCCGCGAGCTTTCTCATAATAATATTAATCCTCGAATTCCTTTGATTCATATTAAAATACCTATATTATGACGAGGAAACTGTTTTCTGATTATTATACAGCCAACTTTAAGATAATTTTAATTGTCTTAATACAATCACACTTACGCACGATAATTACTTTTATTATCTTGAAATCTTTTGAAAACGGAATTATGATACTCATGCAACGAAGTTTTAAGAGACAGTAATCAAGTAAACAAACATTGGCATGTGCGAGTATTTACGCGAGATGGTGTATAGTGTCATCACTCTATAATATTTGAATCACTATGTTCACTAAGGTAATGTTAGTCGCTGCACTTAAAAGCTTTTGAACGAAAATAAAATGATATTGGCGTTTATAATTTTATCGTTGATTTCTTGCACGAGAATATAAGTGTAAAAGCTATTGCTATTTATTGTTTAATGAAACAATTATATCAATAGTGTCTGGTAATCTTATTCGGGTTAATGTGCGCCTCAGAAAATTGGACGAATAATATTGTAATATTTTATAACTTTGTGAATTACGATAGAAAAATTACGAAAAAAATTGAATGGATGTATTGGGCTCTGTAGACTCCAAATATGACATAACACTAAAACTATTGTAATGTCAGTTGTCATTTTATTCTCCGGGGCCGGCGATATGTATTCTATCAGTCTATCTAGCTTTAACAGTACAAGTTCTCCTTAGTTTGAAACTAGATGGCGTTGTGTGTCAGATGTCCTAATATAAAAATAAATAAAATAAATAAATAAATTACATTTCACTTAGGTCATTAGGATCATCTATGTTTTTCTTGTTCTTTTTTAATATGATTGTTATTTTGTATCCTACTGATGTTTGAAAGTGTACTGTAAAAAGCCCTCCCAAAAAAAATGAATTTGAGTTTAATTTTCTGCATTAGTTTTGCATTTGAAAATTCAAAAGAGGGCTGCCATGTTTAAACATATTAAAACTTTATCCTCGTTATCATCATCAACAGCCTATAATAGTCCACTGCTGGACATAGGCCTCTCCTTAGAAAGGAGGTATTAGTTTTGTTTTTTAACTTTATCCTGACATGCAATAATCTTGACGTTGACTTGGATTTGACAGCAAGTGGTTGCATGTTCAACCCCTAGCGCATTTCTGAAGTGAATCTTTTTTTTTTACGTGTGGAAACCCCCTCAGGCCGTCACCGTCGGGTTTACGGCGGGGTGGTGTGTCGGAATCGGACCGACTAAAACCACACGGTGAGCCACTCTGCGCCTTTAATAGGAGAGATCCGGAACGTGAACTCTGTACTAACATAAGCATTTAGTTTATTGAATGGGTTAAAAAGAACATCAGTAATGGCCCATATTAATTGCACATTGTTTTTAACTTAACAAATTCCGAATTCACGTCAAAATAATTGCAGTAATCGATATTTTACCATTCTCTTCTCATATGGAATAAAATGTTCTCTACTCTGAGTCTAAAAAGCTAAGGTAAAAAGCTAAAGAAAACACACATCCGTCCCATCAGGGATTAGAATCCTATTGGCATAACCAAACTAAAATATATTAAAAACGGATGTGTTTTGAAAATAATTAGGAGCGTTGATAACCACTTACCAACACCATACCTGTGTCCTTACCGTAAGCTTCGAAAGTACACAAAGATTCAATAATCAGTAGATAACCATCACATCCCTTTCCTTTGTATATAGTTAGAAAGAGACGGACGGTGATTAATTGTGTGAGAGCAAACTGCCGACTTCATACAGTGACGTCATATAAGTGATTCACACTCAACTTAATCAAGCAGAAAAAACTGAACACATAATATATACAAAAAACATTCAAGAACATGAAGCCTTCACAATCCCTTTTAAAGCTGATGGTTAAAATATTAATATTAATGATTCTATTTGTCTGTATGTTTATTATATCAGCATTTTTATATAGTACAAGATATTGGCCAGATGTCTACAATTATATAAACGCTAATATAACTATCAAAAGAATTCCTACAATATCAGAACTGAACATTCAAATCATGGAAGTAGGATACGACTATACAACAGAAGTATATTCAACTACAGACGCAGATTATTTCGAACTATCCACTACAGACGATTTTGATATCGATGAGTTTATGACAGCAAAGTTTGATGCAAAAACTAAAGTCAAAAGAAATGTAATGCTCGAAGAAATAAAAGATTACAAAGAGTTACCGAATCGACCTATTTTTGTAGATTATATATTTCTTGAAGAGCCATTTGAAATAGATGATAAAAATAATACTAAAGAAGAGGAAGATGTATTAAGAACTATGATCACAAAAAAAGTTTTAGATAATGAAACGAAAACAGTTACGAAAGATGATACTGAAGAAAATATGACAACTACAGATAAAAATCACATTAAAGAATTAAACAATAATATCTCGGAAAGATTAATCGAATCAAAATATGATAAAAATGAGGTAAATTTAGAAGAGAGTAATAGAGAAGATCTCATGAAGCCTTCAACAACGAAAGAAGGTTATCTGATTGGTGACGAATTTAACCATGAAGTCAAAAGTCAATCAACAGTAGAACCGCTTGAAATAACGACTGATAGCAACGAAAACAATAACGATGGAAGATTAGAAATAAATTTACTAACAGATCTGGTAGATATGAGTAAAATGTCGACAAGGAGTCCAGAAGACGTTGAAATGTTTACTGGAATGTTGAAAGCAGGTCATCCAGATACGGTAAGTTTAATGAATTGTTATGCTTACGCGTTCCATGATTTGTGAGTTATTTTTTATGACGTAGGGGGAGCTTATAGATTTCCTTATGGTAAGAGACTCCCGCCCGTGGAAACCTTCCCTTCCAGAGATACAAGTGCCTTAGTTGTTTGTATCCATGTGGTGACGGATTAAGAATACGAAGTGTCACTACCCCTATTCATCCCGTGGGTGTCGTAAGAGCCGACTAAGAAAGCAAACTAGACAGAACAATACCGATAACTACAAAGAGAAGGAAAGTTTGAAACAAACCCTATACCAACCTGTCTGACATGCGTGGTATAGTAGGCCAAAACCTCTTTTCCAAGGAGAGGCCTAAGTCCAGCAGTGGACTTTTAAAGGCTGTTGAAGATGATGATGATAGTTGTTTGTTGTCACCCTTTGAGCGTCCCCTGAAACTAGGAATTAGGCGGGTAGTTGAGGCTAATGTAATCTCACTCACTAGGTGAAAAGAAACGGTAAGAATTGCTTAACTGGTTTAAATCGGTTTTCCACGAGGCCGTGGTACTGTTCTATCTGCCGAAACATGACTCTACCACGGTAATTATAAAGACGTTGCGTACTTGAGGATTAAACGCCAACAACCTATTGGCGTTAATATGCATTAGATGCCTTTGATTTCCTGACGTCAGACCACGGTTGAACTGACTGCGGTCATAAGTTGACTGTGAGTATATACATACTTGACATAATTCCTATTTCGTGATCACATTAATTCCTGTACGTATAGATAATTACGTGGTAAGTTGAGTTCTATTTTCACATAAACTACATTTTTTACCGACTCCAAAAAGGAGGTTATCAATTCAGATGTTTAAATATATTTTTTTATGTATGTTAACTCCCTCATATATAGACGTCAATTTTTTTTTGTTTAAAAAGGGTTTATTCCAGAATGGTCTCATCTAAATTTCATTTGTGATGTGATTTCACACAACAGAATTCTTCAAAAAATTACAGCAAATCAACCGCGATTGCTGCTAGGTTTTTCGTGCTCTTTGTTAGTATTGTTTGAAGTGGGTTAAAATGTTTAAAGAAGGATTTATCAACGTTTAAATCAAATCATTCATCACTAGTTATTATTAATAGTGTAGTTCAGACCAGATACCTCCTCATCATTTACTTCACAATACATCCCTATGTTATCTCATCGGCTCTTTGATTATTTTCTATAATTCATTGTTATAATGTACGAGTAAATGCACATTATAAATATTTTATTACACTGAAATATATGTATAGTATTCCTTTATCCTTTCATTCATTCCTAAAAAAAAACCTTAGTTATGAAAATGTAGTGTGCCTATTTCTTAGTAGAATAGTTAATAATACCGTGTGTCATAACGTTTGTGGGACCATCCGGCTTTACTGGAGAAATCTTGCGGTGTACCGTATGTTTTTAGTTAAAAGAAACTGCACAGGCCGTTGCCAACTCGCTGCGATCTTAAACCTCTCCGGTAAACCGTAGCGCGTGTTCCCTCCTTCATAACACCTGTCAAGGAACCGTATAACACAAAAAAGGCAACCTAATCTGTTTTAATGTCGGTTGAAATCCTAACATTAAAATTATACATTATGATTTGACAGCAATGTGCGACGTCACACCTTGTAATACCAATCAAGTGTGCTAGGGAACGTGCTGTTTTGACATTTAATAAAAAAGTTGATTTCACGTCAAAGTGACAGTATTGACATCTATTTGCAATAAAAAAAAATTACTTAACAATTACACATACCCATGAAACATTGTGTGTACAAAATATACGTAACTCGTATCTATAAATCAATGTTGTAATTTTCATCTTCATTGTAATCAACCCTCTCAATGGCTCTATTTCTCATAGGCTGCAGAAAATCTTGCTCAATTAATTACCTCATAAAGATTTTTGTTGTGTGCAATAAACAAGTGTTTTATTGCAATTTGAAAGTGTTTTTCTTAACAAAAATGCGTAATTTATGTAAATATACTTTCGTAACTGGGTAACTAATGAAGATGGAAGACTGCATAATTGATAAAGATTAAAAATCAAGGTTCAGTCAGGTTAAATTACTCAGGTGAGGATAGCACTAGGTGTAATTTATCTGCACCAGGGACTTCCTTTCTAGGGTATACCTGATTCCCCGGCTATAAGTACCCGAGACGGCGTGCGGTTTTAATCGGTTCGAGTCCGACATGCCACTGATAGGAGGTATCCGAGGGGATTTCCGCACGGAAAAAAAAAATCTATAATATATTTCATGATCACCATCATCATCAAGAACAGTCCACTGCTAGAAAAAGGCTGGATATTAGTAAGGAGGTTTTGGCCTACTATACCACGCTGGCCGGTATCAAGGTTGGTATCAAGTTTTCTTTTTCCTTAGTTGGCTCTTACGAAACCCATCGAATGAATAGGGGTGGTGATACTCCATATATTCAATGCGTCAAAATTTTGTAATAAATTTCATATTTCAAGTTAGTCAATGGTAATATCAGTTGTCCTAATCTGCTACAAAAACTTAACATTACTATCACCCAAAAACTTCCACGACTGTCTAGAGTCCAGTAGATCCAAAGTAACCTAGGCGGTTTCACGCCTTTAAACAGGCTCCAAGCGGAATATAATTCTGTCAGTAAACATAAGGATACCAATATATTTAGATTGTTAAGCTGAGAAATACGTGTAAGGATTTTTGTATTTTTCTTTTATAGATTTTTTTTTGTATTTATTATGTACGAAAATGTTTGCTCAAGTTTTTTTCTTACGCTCCCAACTATCTTTTACCATTATGCTTTCCGTCATCACCTGTAATCAGAGCAGCAATAATGCTTGTATACCACTGCCATTGTCTCTCTTAGCTATTAAGGCGTTTGTTCTTGTTGGTTGTCCAAATAAATGATGAATAATAATGATGTTTATCAGCAATCTGGCAAACCATGGGACAGGCTCTGCTTAGTTTATGCTTATGCGTATGTTATTGTCAGGTTATGTGATGTGTCAAGTTATTATCATTTGTTATAAATAAGTATTCTTGGTAAGTTGAGAAACGAATTATAATAAAATAATAATAATATTCTACCACATTCACACAACGCCATCTAGTCCCAAACTAAGCAGAGCTTGTACTATGGGTACTAGATAACTGATATAAGTACATATATACTGTTTCTTTTGTAAATACATACATATTATACATAGAAACACCCAGACCAAATCAAACATTAAATGTTCATGCACTTAAATGTTTGACTTGAGCGGGAATCGAACCCGCGTCCTTTGGAATAGCAGTCCGATACACAAACCACTACGCCATCCGGACGTCGATATGTTATGTTTTTGGAACTTGATGAGAATAATTTGACGGTCCTGATGGTCTAGTGGTTTGTGACACTGACTGCTAAGACGCAAATATTGTGTGATGAGCACGGTCACTTGTTCTGTCTGGGTGTACTTTACCCATAATATGTATGTATTTAAAAATATATAAGTATTTTTTTTTTTGTTAGAGGGGGCAGACGAGCAGACGAGTCATCAGATGGAAAGTGTCCATCGCCGCCCATGAACGTCTGCAACTCAGGAGTCACAAACGCGTTGCCGGCCTTTTAGGAAGGAGTACGCTCTTTTCTTGAAGGTTTATAAGCAGTCTGGTTACCGTAGTACAGGCTCTGCTTAGTTTGGAATCAGACGACCGTGTATGAGATGTGTGAGATATTATATTATATTATATAATCTAAACACTGGAAAAATAAACGCACACACTTGATAATACTCACTTTAAAAGTCTTGAGTAAACAAGTTAAGTCGAGAAGAGAACTTTCAAGTTTTTGACGTGACAACGTCTTATAAATTGGTTTGCCGGGTGACACTTCAAGAAACTGCGTTACGCTCCGCTCACGTTATGCGCTCACAATGAGAGCGAGTGAGAGGCACGCGTCCCTTCCACTCGGGCATGGTTAGCCCGCCTAAGAGCGAGAGAGACAGACATAAAAAGTGAAAGGCACATTATTTTACCACTCAAAGTCGTTGTCACGTAAAACTTTCGCCCGTATACCGACTTTACAGGCAACCAATTTTTTTACATAAAAAATAGAATCAATACTAAACTGCTATTTCTAGATAATGTTTCTTATACCTATTACGCTCGTCACGATCTCAACTCAGATAATTATCAAGTATAGGACAATTAAAATCTTACAATTCGTGATCAACTGACACAGCTTGAAGGCCGTGGGTGCGTTTACATATTTTTTTTACTTTATTTACAAAAGATGAGGTTCTCAAAACGTGAGATAACTTTTATTCGAATGCGCCAGAAAAATAATTATTTTTTAACAGTGTATAATAATAATAATATTTCCAACATCTGACACACAACGCCATCTAGTTTCAAACTAAGCAGAGCTTGTACTATGAAAGCTAGATTGATTAAAAGAATACTAACTTTTAAACTTTCGCGTTCCATGATAATTAATATTATTTTTCCCGTTAAATAATATTAATGATTAAAAGAATACTTATACCTATACTTTTTTTTTGTAAATGCATACATATTAAACAGAAAACACCAAACTAACATTTGGCCCGACCCGGGAACCGACCTCAGTACAGCAGTCGCATAGGCTGCCATTGCATCGCCGAGGCAGTCAAGTGTCGTTATATTTATCTTAATTGTGAGACTCACACTGAGTATAAATTTCCGACTTGTATAGTACCTATGCATTTTTACGTAGTCGGGTTTTTTATTTTAAACACTTTTGCTATAAAGTTTACCGCAGTTTCGCTCAATATCATGTCTTTATGGCCAACTAGCTTCTGGTTATTACTGTAAACAGTGGCCCATGTTACTCGCTGATAATGTAGCTTTCCATTGCTGAAAGAATTTTAAAAATCTGTTTAGGCGTGAAAGAGTAACAAACACACAAACAAACAAACTCACTTTCACATTTATAAAATAAGTATGAAAGTATGAATTGTAGAATCACCTACGCTTACAACATCATTACATCACATCAGCCTTTAATAATCCACTGCTGGACATAGGCCTCTCCTTAGAAAGTCCTTAGGAGTTACAACAATAGTTCATAATATTTGTATAAATATAATGAAGCCGTTTTCCAATTGTCTAACTAATTATAGGTCAAGACTCTATGCCATTCAGTACAGTTATAGTGGAGACAATTATAGAAATGGTATTAAGAGAGTTAGTGTGCAGTTTTGCCGCCTTTATATTTATGTTCTTAAGTTCCTTACAGATACTTGTTTGTTATCACTGACAATCGGTAAAATTAAGCATTAAAATGTTTTAAAAACTACTTAAGGTTTAAGTTAAATTAAACACAAAAGATTTTGCTCTAGCAAACAACTCGCTAAACCCTTCCCCTAACACTGTAACTATAAAAGTCATACTAATTATTGCGATTGTGCATTAAGACGGAATTTCAAGGTGAATACATCTTCAAAGCATTTCACTAGCCAAAGTGTACTCAGTTTCAATAGACATAAGATATATAGCTAGAGAAATAAATATTTATTTTGCGAAAACATAACATTCAATGCCTGCATTTGTTTTTCGTCTCGTGAAGTGACTTCACGTGTGTTTTGGTTATAATAATGAGAAGCTTCATAGTTTTATTATTGTGTGGTGTGTTTGTCTGTGTCGACAGTGAATGTAGTGATCTTGAATGTACTGAGGAAGTAATTAAGCAAATATTAGAAGAAGAAGATACAGCAACAGATGTTGTAGACCTAAAATTAGTTGCTCCCGGATTTAAACAAATTAAGAACGTGGAATTACAAGACGTGAAAAATATCGTCCTGGGTTTGACACAATGGTTTGAGCACAAATTAAATGAAAGCACTTTTATTTATAAAAATGTTCACAACAAAACTAAAATATTTGTGAAAAGTTTCGATTTCAGTGTAGATTTTGAGAAAGGGAAAGCACGCATTGATATGGGTTTGGCTAAAGAATTTGATGAACAAAAAACTAATGCAACCGACTTGCTGAAGATAATAAAAGAAGATTATGATGAAGAAACAAGTACTACACCAGATCCTAGTACAGAGTTAGATAATATGTCAAGTACAATGACTGATGCAATAGGACATACCATTGATGCTATAATCGAACGCCATAAAAATGTAAACAATGTTGATATTTACAACACTGTAGATTTTGACACAACTTATTACGATGTATATGAAGAAGATAATTCAACAGATTATCCAATAATTGATTATATTGAACTATATAAAGATACCACTAACGAGGAAAATGTATATACGGGAACTGAATTACCTACTACTTTGGCTGATTTTAGTGACCAAACAACTGATACTAAAGTGGTTTCTTTTGAGAGTTTACTCAATGATACATCTGTAAGTTATTTTTTTTTATATTTTATACTGCTAAGTTACGTATTACTCACATTACATCACAAATACTGGGAATCGTGTTTTTTTTCGTATTAGTAACTTTCTGGTCTACTCAAATGTCCTGGTGGAATGCCATATTGACTAGTATAGGTTAAGCTACACGATGGCTGAGGCTGGCTAGGCTACACTGTACTCGCACAGTTTTCCTTAACTTAAAAAAAACTCTAAAAATAGACACCTCTGTGGTTTGTTTTTGCGTTTCTTTCCAGAGTGAGTCTTAGGAAATGCCGGCTATATCTAGCTGTAAAGTCCGACTTGTAAAAATATCTGAAAAGATGCTTACAGAAAAAAAATATCATTTAGAAGTTAGAATTTAAATAAACTAATACAATAAGTACACGTTTAACGTGGGAGAGTCATGTTTCCATACATACGGGTAGGCTCGACTGGAGTTACTACGTCCTCACAGAAAACTAGTGTTAAACAAGTCTTTCGTTGCTTTTCAATGAGTGAGTGAGGTTATAGGAGGCCCAACCCTACTCCTACCCTTGATCTTTGCGGAAGGGACCGATAGAGCGGCAACGATCCGCTTTGCTCCCTATTTCATAATAAAAGATTAAACAAACTCAGAAGCTTCTTCCGTAAATAGCAGAAGATGTCTGCTTCATTCCCCTATTTACCTGTCTACATGTTGAATATAATTAGTTTCTTTGCTAATTAAAAACCGTGTTGATATGTCAGATAATCTAAATTGTTATCTAGATGATACAATGATGATGATGAAGCTAAACCTTCACGTATCTGTCTGAAAAACAATAACATTCTATTTTATTTACGTCATTCACATGTAGGAGGTCGCCTGACGCATTGATGAGTTCATGGTAGCCTTTTAACTAACTACGTAAACAAATGTAAATACCATTTTTAACCTCCTTCAAATTGTCTAAAAGTACAAAGTTTTTAAAAACCTTAGAAATATTTAAAATTCTAATATTATTTCAAGATAAAACTAGCCAAGTTATAAAATTTGCATTATCTGTTAGTTTAAATCTCGTGAAAAATCGCTTGACAACTTCCGTAGATTAAAAATACTCAATCAATCAATCAATCAATCAATCAATCAATCAGTTTTTATTGTGAAACATAGGTATACAAGGTTGTTTACAGTGGTAGAATGATCTACTATGTTCTGCCATTTAGGCTTACAATAATTAAAGAGATTAAAAATAATAATTGTGAAACGCTAAATTTAAGACATGCAAACAGAATTACATTGAATTGTCGCAATCAAAGCAATATAATACTTCAGTTTGATTTTTCATACCTTAGAGCTTAAAACATGCAAAATCAATGTCTCTTTTTTATAAATTATGTATAAAATTTTAGAACTATGATGTCAATAAAGTAATTACAATGTCAAATAAAAAATAAAGATAAATAATAAATAAAAATTGTATGTATTTGTAAATTCATTTCTTTTAATAAATTATTTAATTATCCCCATTTACCATCTAAAAATTCTCTTATATCATAATAACATTTTTCAGATAGGCATTCTTGTAGATGTTTTTTAAATGGGATTATGTCTAGATTTCTGATGTGATCGGGTATCTTATTATAGATGACAGGTGCCATACAGAATACACTTTTACGCATTAATTTTGTATTTGCTTTTCTTATTCGCATCCTATTACTGGTGTGGGTTCTTCTATTGCGAGTAACCGTATCAGCTAATGTTTCGAACAGTTCCAGGTTCGACTTTACGAAAACTGCTGTTTCATAAATGTATAAAGATGGCAATGTCATAATTTTATACTTTTTAAAATATGGTACACAACTATCTGTAGATTTTAATTTGAACATTGCTCTAATGCACTGCTTTTGAGATTTGAAAACAATTTCTTTATTTGTCGAGTTTCCCCAGAATAGTATGCCATATCTAAGATAGGAGGCGGTTATTCCATGATATGCTTTAAGTATACCTTCCTCATTGAGCAGAGGTGCAAGCTTAAAAAGTGCATAGGCTGTACTGCTGATTTTTTTGCATAACTCTTCAGTATGTATTTTCCAATTAAGCCTATTATCAATATTCAGTCCTAGGAATTTAGTAGCGTCAATTTCATTTATTTTAATATTATTATATGTTATATTCATATCTTTAATTATATTATGTCTTTGTGAAAATTGTATTAAATTTGTTTTGCCTAAATTAATTTTTAAATTATTTTTATCCATCCATTTTATAATGTTATAGAGCGTATTATTAATGTCCGTTTCATAGTAAGCGCGATTGTTACATTCTATAACTACCGTACTGTCATCCGCAAATAAAGTAACAGGATGGTTAGTTACTTTGGGTAGATCATTAATGTATAGAATGAACAGTAAAGGCCCGAGTACACTACCTTAAAAAAACTATTAAAATTGTCGCTTTTAATACTTTTTAAAAAAACTATTAAAAGCGACAGAAAATTTGTCAATTCTATTTATGTACATTATATGTTTGGGGATGAAATTAAAAACTTTATAGGAGGCTTTTGTCGAAGGAAAAGTTGTGATAGAACATCGGTTGCCGAACAATTCGTTCAAATTAATGTTTGATTCGAGTTACGTCTAGTTATAGATAGAGGTACCTAGTACTATTTAATTATTCTACAGCATTAAACCCTTTTTGTTATATCTTTTTATATTATATACGCAAATAAATGCAGTTATGTGTAGATTAGATGTATATCACATGTGCTAAGATATTTCTGCAACTTGTTTCCGATAAAACTAACGAACTTTCATAATAAAAATAATATTTGTTTGCAGAAAATGTGGTCACAGTAGGTGGTTTACAATATTAAAAGCACAAGACACATTTCGCTGTATTTAGTTTTTTTTGTATGTTAGAGGGGGCAGTCGAGCAGACGGATCACCTGATGGAAAGTGACTATCGCCGCCCATGAGGCCGCCGCCTTTTAGGAAGGAGTAAGCTCTTTTCTTGAAGGTTTGAAGGTCGTTAGATAGCATACAAATGTCACAGATAAAATTATGAAAACAAAACCATTTAAAAACATTAGACTTATAACTAATCTTTTACATGCAAATACATTGCAATACAATTAAAGTATTAAAAACCCGCCAAGTGCGAGTCGGACTCGCGCACGAAGGGTTCCGTACCATTTCCTATAAAAACGGCAAGAAAATCACGTTTATTGGGGGGGCTCCCTTGAATATTTATTTTGTTCTGTTTTTAGTATTTGTTGTTTGCCGCTATAAGCAACATCATCTGTAAAAATTTCAACTGTCCAACTATCACGGTTCATGAGATACAGCTTGGTGACAGACGAACAGACAGATAGACAGACGGACAGCGGAGACTTAGTAATAGGATCCCGTCTTACCCTTTGGGTACGAAAAACTAAAAATCATATTAAAACATTTACTACACTAATGCATTTCTGAAGTAATATGACTGATTTAAAAATAAGAAGAAATAACTGAGAATAAACCAAACGAAAAATCATTTGAATCTTAAAATAGTATTTTTACTTTCAACGTGAATACGTGATACAATGTTATACGGGGTGAGAGCCACAATAGCTTCCAGTTCTAACGCAGATATGACACTGACACACAGACAAAAAAAACGTGTGGCCCAACAAAAGTGATAATTTAAACTAATCTAAGTTTAACTAGGAGTAGAAAGCGGTTAAGTGACCGCTTAAACCACTGCGCCATTCAAAGTAAAACTTTATTTTAGTGCTGAATAGCCCATTTATCGAGGAAGGCTATATAATATAGAGATGATAGAGTCCGGCGGTCGATAGTGTAATTACGGCCGGCTACGCCAAGAGTAGGTTGTATTTTTGGATTGTACAACGTATATCACCTTGCTGGTTTGTATCAGACGTACACAGTCCGTAAACACCGTCAAAACTATGTTGTATGAGTATTATCTGTCTCTCATAGTTGAAAATTAGAATTATGGATTAGTACGATAAATATAAAAAATTCATAGGTAAAAACCTTATTTATTACTCGAACTTTAATATATCTATCACGAATTAAAAATGAGTCTACTCCATCCAAAGGTTGGCTGGAAGAACTTGCTCTAAGCGATAAGGCCGCCCTTTGTACATTACATTATCTGTCTGTCAAATTCCTGTGTACAAATAAAGTGTTATCTATCTATGTTTGTATATTTCTTTGGCATGCTTTGTAGCCTAAACACCTGGATAATTTTAGTGGTTATGGTGTCGTTAGTTTTTTTTTACTTGTGAGAATGAGACTTGGTATGTCAGTATTATAAAAATTAAACTCAGTCGGTTTTTGGAACGAAGTTCCTTATCGCGCGTTGTGAAAGGGGGCTAGACGGAAAAAATTCTTACGAAAATTGGTCACGACACTTTTTATTTTAAATTGTTACTTGTCAGTCATTCAGCGCCATCTATCGAATAGTAAAATTAAAATTTATGTTCTTAGGTTGAGCAAAAAATATTGTATTCGACATCATTTCTCAAGGAGATTTTACCAATGTATAAATTGTTTTAATTAGAAACCAACTGAAAAATATGTAGGTAAAAGCCGCTTTCATAGATGGCGTTGTAATTAAAATCGTGTCTAATCAGTTTTACTCGATCGTAACAACTTCGTTCCTATCGGGTGTCCCACGACACCACACGGCTTTTTTTTTGTTTTTTTTTTCAATAGATAACTTGTTTACTTTTTAATTTGGTCCGATTTTAGTATGTTACTTATTTTCTGTTCTATACTTTACCTAAATTTCATCTTAATTTTTTTCGTCTTCATAATTTATGTATTTATTTTTGTTATCTGAACACAAAAGCCATGTGTAATAAAGGATGAGTTCAACAAAACTTCAAATCAATCATTCTGTTGTAAAAATATGGACACAAGGGTGTGGAGGGTAACTTTTGGAATAAAGCAAAAACAATTTCACATTCGGCCGTCGACACGCGATGAATGGGATTTGGACCAATTATTCGTCTGCGGCT